CCACATTTATTTATGTGCCAATTATTCCCGACAGAGTCCACAAATGGAAATGCATAAATTTCGGCAACACTAATCAAAGAGAAGAGACCCTCCCGCACCCAACCGCCTCTCCCTATGGCTGCTGTATTTTTGCGATAGTTAATAAGAAATGTGCAAGCAGATGTGGAAAGGTCAAAGTAGCAGTGCAGAAACATTGGATCGGTTGCCATCGATGGGATACAGCACAGGCAGGATACAGGATACGAGTATATCCAGCCCCACATTCTGCTTTGCATCTGCTCCTCTGCATTGCTCTGACTCTGACTCTGGCTCTGGTCTTTTCTGAGCTGTGGTTCTGGTTCTGGTTCTGGCTTTGGCTTTGGCTATGTCGTAAGCCAGAATACGTATAAACGATAAATGAAATGAAACAATTTCAATAAAGTTTTGGGTTACAACGAAATGCAAACCCGGAAACGGAAACTGCAAAACGAAGTAAAAGGCAAATTACATTGGACTCTGTGTCTGTTTTTGTGTGCTGTCTGCTGTGTGTGTGTCCCTTTCCGTACACGTGTTTGGGTGTGTGTGCCTGTGTGTGAGGATATGAAAATATTGTAAATGAAAGCAGAGAGCCATGTAAATTGTGGCCATAAAAAGCCACAAAAGAACTGAGAGTGAGACAAAGTGGAAATGTTTAAAATAAACCCAGGAATGAATGCTAAAATGCATAATATTTGTACCCTCACCAAAAGGCCACTATAAATCCGGCCAGACTTTTGCCACAACCTCTCTTTCCCGCTCACTGTTTCACTGGTTAAACACATACGATCAATATCTGCTCCACCAAAGGGGGTTATCAATGGCACTGCAACGGGTGTGCAGGTGCTTATCGAATAAAGCCAGTTGTAGAGCTTAAAACGCGTATTCAAATGGAGTGATTAAGTTAAATTCAATGCAGCAATCCCTAAATTAATTTACCTTAAAGAAGAAAGTCAGAAACTATCAATGTATGTCCGAGTGTAAGTGCATTCTGTCTTCGTTTTTGCGCTTACATTTTTTGCAGATAATATCTTTTAATCACAGCTGTGTGGAAAATGCTTCGATGACCATGAATCTGTCACTGAAATAATATTAAATGCAAATAATTCTGCCAAAAGGCTCTCTCTATCGTCCACACAAATATTACTCACACGCAGTGTGTCTATTGCCATGGCAAAAATTACTCATACGCAGCACGACAAAGGCTGGACACTTATTAGCAGCTCGCACTCACTTCTTGGGAGCAATTTACCAAGAAACAATGAGGTTCAAGACTGGGCGACGACAGCTAAGAGGACAGCCTCAATTATCGGCCATGGTCCATGGACCATCTACCTGGCCCCTGTATTGGTTTGTTTGAGTTGGCATTTGGGTTATGCATGTCTGATATATGCGGCTTATCGAATAATCTGACCAGATGACAGTTATGCAATCTGTCTGCCGTAACTCAGCTCCTGTTTCTGCTCCTGCTACTCTTCCTCGCCAGAGTCTCTCAAATTCTGCCTCCCACTGCGTCCCAATGCACAGCTCCAATCACAATACCCATACCCATACCCATACCCATACCCATGCTCATCTAATGAATGCATTTGGCCAAGCCAAACATTCCACGGTGGAACATTGAGGCGAAGGATGCTTGAAATGTTGCTAGGATATGACGAAGACATTATGCGGTGGCTGGAAGGTGGCTGGAGGGTGACTCTGACTGTGACTGGAGCGGCGGTATGGGGTGGCCACGAGGTGGATGTGGATGTGGATGCGGATGTGCGTGTGTGGGTGGATTTGGTAATGCCCAATGCAATGCAATTGACAACAATGGCAGCGAACGGCTTAGAGTGAAGACTGGAGATTGGAGATTGGAGAGTGGGGCAATGCAAAATGCCGACCGGAAATGGGGAACACACACACACAGCCACAGGCACAGGCACAGACATTGGGATGTGTGAGCATTTATCCAGCAAAGATGTTGAAAATGGCTGCTGGACTATTTCTTAGCTTGAAAGCCGAAAGTTGACGCTGTAAACGGCAGGATGTGTGTGTGTGTGTGTGTGTGTGTGTAAAAGGGACAGGGTGCATTCGAACGGATAACCATTCCCGGAGAAAATTGCTTCAATATGCGTTGTGCATTAGCCGAAGTCGTTTTGCGTAAGTGCGCGATTTTCGAACTGCACGCCAGTCCCCCTCGACATCCACACACATCCCCATGGACACATGAGAGCCAACCCGGTTGGATATCCTCCTGCAGGCTGTCGCCAGCTGTGCCGCATCGGACGCTGCATCAGCAGAAAATTTCCTGAGGCAAGACGCCATCGATGCCATGACCATTCCCAATACTTACCCTCCTAATAAAGCTCTGACGATGATGATGATGATGATGAGGATGATCACTGAGATGGCAATGATGATGCTACTGCTGGTGGTGGTGGTTGCCTAACGCAAAAACCTTTATTCAAATTCAGCATTTTCATGGCACTGGCGTAAAATGATTTTATTGCTTCCTGACTGAATGACTTTTACAACCTCGCCTCAGATTCGCATTGAGATTAACCCAAATCGGCTGCTTCCTCCGCAGCATTCAACTCCAATCCAATGCTTCTGCTCTGCCACTGTAGCCCACTCACTCCGACCAAGTTGCCGCAAAAGAAGCCGCTTCAAATTCAATCAAATTTCCGCTGACCCCATGAACCGAGATGCGTTGGGGCGTAAGTGCAGATTTTCTGACATTTCAGCGCGAAGGTGTGGCAAATAGCTCCGCGGCAATGGGAACACGATCCTTAGCCGTATTCCGTAGCCCCAAATAAACGCATCCAAACCTCATGGAACGCAATTAACTAATTGCAAAAAGGAACGGAGAGCCACACTCCACCATTTACAATTACTGGGCCTGGGCCTGGGCCTGGACTGCAGTTTGCAATTGGTAAGTGGACCCAAAATTTTGGGTTTTGGCAAACCCATAATGATGGCCTTTGTGCACCGCCCGTACACATTGGCCAAGGAGCTTATCATCATGACGATAATCTAGTGGATTTCGGCATGTGCAACCCGAACCTAATCATAATCTCTATCGTAATCGTTGTCGTAATCGTAGTCGTCATTATTAATGTGGCATCGGCATGGTGTGGCATCATGCATTCATGTCTGTAATTATTGTCTGTGAATGTTTTGCAATTGCATTCGTTTTGAGGTTTACTTTTGCGGCGGTAATCACTTTGCATAGAACGGAAATATATGAAAAACCACACTTATTATCCCTGATTATGATGTGATTATGCAAGCCCCACGCCTCTGTCTGTGTGGGTGTTTGCCTGGGTATGGCTGTAGCTGTGGGTGTGGGTGTGGAAAATGTGCGTTTAATGAGGCAACTACAGCAAAAACAGCTTAAATTCGAACTAGCCAAGACAAAACTAGTGGAAAGAGAGACCAAAACTCAACCTTCTACATACGTACATGCATACATTTTTAAGGCCGCACCTTCAGGTGAGAGAGCAGCAGAATTTAAAGTCAAAAATAATTTAAGTAGCGCGTGGCAGAGCTGCTCCTGCCTCTGCTCGGCGAGGATATGTGACCCATAATCCAGAAGCCACTCAAACTGCTGAAACACTTAATTTGGCCGAGCAAACTTTTGACTAGCGCCAGTTGCAAATGCTGCACGTGCCCTGCGTCCTGAGCTTGGGCTGGGTTGGATTGGGTGGCTTGCCCCCAAAATGAATGTCTATTCGTGGTAGGCCGCGGGGTGGCAGCTCGGCTGGCAGCTGGGGTTACGAAGTGGCCTCGTTTCAGACCTCGCTGCTCGCTGCTGCCATTATGCTCATCAGCATCGGCATAGTACCCCCCCCTCACACATGGGCAGGTAAGTGCTGCTGCTGCTGCTGCTGCATGTGTGGCTCCATCAGTCTGGCTTACCCGACCATTGGCCAGAGCCCACGTTGGCCACACGTGCACACTCTTGACCTTTATATCAATTTAAGCGAGCCCCCTAAAACCATAATAAATTATTGCCGTTTGTTTTGTGTGTCCGGTGAGCGAGTGCCTCGAATGTTATATCAAATGGAGAACTGAGAAGCACACAGACCAGTGGCCAGGTTGCAGCTGTGTTCCAGGAACTACTGCATCCGTCATTCTATGTTTTTTTTTTGCATCGTGTGTGTGTGTGTGTGTGTTAGTGCTTTGAACAATGATTTGCAAGATTAAGCATTAATTGTGCGGACTTCAACACGAAGCCCCTTCTGGACAATTAGGAAGCATTGCGTCATGCAAAGGGGACCGCTGGTCTCGTTGAGGTTCGGCAAGAGTCCATGCAAACCCACAAGCGCGGGGCGATCGCCTTCCAGGCACAGCTGGTCGCCAAAGCTGACATCCACGTGCAGAGCCATTTTCGGCAGACTCTTAGACACATTGCCCAGCACTTGCTGCTCATTGGTTGGGGTAGTCAGTAAGAGCCTAGCGGAGGTTCCCTGCAGGAGTTCGACTCTCGTGAGGCGGATTGGCTGCCGTATACAAATAACGTGGATGGATTTTTCAGTCATTATCAATGGCGAAGCTCTCGATGCAAGGTTCGACTGAGCGGACTCCATCTTAATCGGTTGCTGCAATTAACCATCGTTCTATGCCAATGTTAAACATCAAATTCAAATTTACTTACCTTTAGAGTAGCGAACAAATGTAGCAAAAGTTTTAATAAAATGAAATGGAAATTGATATTTTTTTTTGCTATTTAATTGCTGTCGATACTTTCTTGACTATCGATGATTGTTGATGAGACCATGCACGGTGTTGCCTTGGTATTTTCCTATAATTAAAACAATATGATGCTTAGTTTTCGGCAGTTGTCAGCAATTTAAATGAAATTTGAGCTGCACTATCGATATGTGTGTTTAATACAAGCCTCGGTATCCTCATCTGTACCACATACGGCACCCAAAAATAAACCATTTCCGATGGGGCCATATCTGGACATCAAATTTGTCTACGAATTTTATAAACGACCAAAGTGTGCCTTGCGTCTCCATCAACACATATCGTCAGTCAAACTTTAAACATTTTCATTGTGGCAGCAGAAGTCAGTGCGTGAAGTTCAGTTTACGTGTGAGAAAAATGTCTACGTTAAAAATAAAAATTGAGCCCACCGAGGATGAGAGTACAGATGTTCCGGTCCACTATCACTACTGCCAGAGAGAGACCTGCAATACGTAAGTATAACGAGTTCATTTACTGTCCATGAACGCCAATCCTAAAGGCAATCACCACTCAGCAGACACTTCGACGGAATCTCGGGCAAGCTCATAAGTGTGGGGACGCAAACCGAGGGTGCCCTACGACAAACTGCGCGGAAAGAGTCGGTAAGTCGTTACATTTATGCATTCATATTGGCCACACTAACACAACATCCCAAAGACGGAGACAAACTATGTCGCTTGTGGACTATGGCCAAAGCCGGAGAACCCGCCAGCTGTGAAGAAAGAGGCACCCGAAGCCAGCGTTGAGCCGGTCGGTGACGGAGCCAGTCAGTTGCCGGACAAGTCCATGGCTCCGTTGCGCAGCAGCAATCGGGGGGAGAGTGGAGTCAAGTGGACCAATCTCGATGGTCAAGTGGCCCACGCACCGTGTATTCACGCGGCCAATTTGGAAGGAGTGCCATTATCGTCGGTCAAGATATTCATTACGGGCATAAGTCCATTTGTCACACGGGAGGAAATCGGCGAGGTCTTTGGCTGGTTTGGGAATATTAAATTGATCGAATATCCGAGCAACCGACACCCCAGCAATCCCCAGGGACGTGGCTACGCCTTTGTGCAGTACGTCTGCCCGATGGACTGCACACTGGCCATCGAGAAAATGAACGGAAGAAAATTGGGTCTCGGCAAGATTGAGGTGATGCCGATCAAACCCAAAAAGAAACGAGCACCGTTCACGTTCCGCTTTGACTGGTCGTAGCCCAGCAGATCGCCAGCAATCCCATCGCAGTTCAAGCCAGCGTGCAGGCCGACCCTCCTCCTCCTCCGGTAATGCCAATCAAGACACCCAATAGGAATCGCTGTCATTCCATTCCAACCATACTCCGAATCGATGGCAGCCAGTCACGCATTCGTCACGCATCCATTGCAAGAAGAATGCGAAGAATGCGAAAACACACAAAAACAGCCATAAAACCGCACCTCTTATGTACCCTTACTTGTAAGCCCTTCAATGGGCGGACTCTGCAAATATTGTTGAATTAAATAAACAAGAACACAACTGGCTGTTCGAATTTCGAAGGCATTTAATGTTCTATGGAATAGTATGGGATGTTCAGGTGAGAATTTGATAGTCGTTTATATTGGAAGAACCTGCCGCCTGGCTGCCTTGTATTGCATTTCGTTTTGTTGTATTTATTTATATGGCATTTTGCCGTTTTCTAGTTTTGTTTTTTTGTTTCACATTTTAATTAAATGGAAATTTCCGCTGTCTTGAGCACGTTTTCTCATCAACGGCATTAAATGCTATGCAGAATTTTAATTAGGTCCGCAGCACACACCCACACACAGGGAGGCCAGGCCAGGCCAGTGTATATGCAACAGGATTTGTAGCACGATTGCAACTTAGGACGGAAGGAGTAGGACTAGAAGTAAGAGTAGGAGTAGGAGTTGCAGCCTCGCATACAAGCATACATACTTTGAGATTTGGCTTGCAGCATGTGGAGCGTGTCCCGTGTCCCGTGTCCCGTGCCTCGTGCTCTATGCAGCGGAGGATTAAGCCCTGTTTACACTACCGAATGCAAAATGTTAAATAATGATACGAGAGAGTGAGCGCTATGCCATCCATATGCCGTACCACCATCACCAACGAACTTGAGGTTGACTCTCGACTTTCGAGTCCAAAATTTAAAGTAGGCCACTAAGCTGACGCGACTCTCCTTCTGTCCTTCTGTTCGTCTGTCGTCTGTCGTCTGTCTGTCTGTTTGCCCAAGAAGACAACCGTCGGATTCGACGCTGTCGAATCTAGCTTACTTGTGCCACTCACAGTGCCAGTTGCAACAATAAGTAGTTGGGTAAGTACGGTAAGTAAGTTGTTTAATTAAAACAAAGTTTAATTGGCAAAATTTCCTCTTGCCTTGCAGAGTGTAGAGTGTGGAGCGTAGAGTGGATTGGAGTGGAGTGTGTGCTCTGCTCTGCTCAAGACAATATCATCATTCAGCTATCCTGCTATTCTGCTATCCTGCTGCCAGAATAGTGCCTCTCAATTGGGTAACTGGTGGTGGTGCTGCTGCGACCACAAGTGGAGTCTCCGTCATCATCATCATCAACATCAACGGACGATGTCAAAAGTGTCTGTCTTGGGTGGGACTTTGGCTTAATTGCAGAACATGAACATGACACATCACTTGATGTCCAGTCGCCAGTACCTTTCCCTCAAACTCCGAGGGTCCGAGGGTCCGAGTGTCCAACAGTTGTAAATATGTCGCACTAATTGAAAATAATCAAATGGATGCACAGCAGCTAGCCAGCCAAGTTAATTGGCAGACATTCAGCCAGATACATTCGCTGCAAAAGACAAGCAGTCGTGGCCAAAAACTCCTTCAATGGATATACATTTCGAAAGGGTTTTAGGTGCCAAACAATCTAGCAATCGATGGAAAGCACAGATGGATACTGCACTCTCTTATTGGATATTTGTTTGGATGGACACCACACATATCTCTTCATTAAATACCTCAGCGAAAACAAACCAAATAACAAATTGCCATGGAAGCCAGAGCCGCATAACTCTTGCCATATGGAAAGTTATGCGCCACAGCAAAATGGAGGGGCCGAAAAACGCAAAACATATTTCGCACATGAACGCCGCAAAACTATTGAAAATTACTATAAACAGCATTGCCCAAAAACGTATGGACAGGACAGACCATGGCCATGGAATGAAACATAACCAAAGCCAACACAAAATATTTTTTATGATATGAACACTCTGCACAAACACACATATATACATATATAAAAAGCGAGTATCCACGGCACTCTGCTGACCAATACCAATCCTCGTACCACTGAAACTACCGCACAACACGATTCGATTCGATTCGATTTATGGGCGTCGATTTGTGGGCAGTTCTTTATGTACATATGTATTCTCACACAATATGTGCACACACGCCCGAAAATATATAGCGTTCTGTTGCTGGCAACACAACACACAAAACGAACAAAAAAGTCAAACAACAACAGCAAAAGAGAAAAATCGGAGCGAAAAAAGTTTTTCCATTAAATCAATGAAGCGCACAAAATATTCGCACCAAGGCAGAGGCGACGAAAAGGAGTCGAAAATTGGCCAACTTTTGATTTGCAAGGACTGCCCGCGGCAACTGGCCCGAGATGGCATTAAGGGAATGTGCCTTAAAATATCGTTTAAGAACGGGAATCGAGTCGTATGGTTACTCGCATAGATAAAGTATCAGCGCAGAGTCCACACCCAATACGTGGCCCCCTATCTACCATTCGAAATTGGACGTTGGACAACGCATCACCTCTGCATCAAGCCGCATTTCAAGTGTCATTCCGTTTGTTATACACACATATTTTTATGCCTGATGACAGCTCAATTTTTTGCAGAGTTTTGGCACGTTTTTTTTTTGTTTGAACCGTGGCAAACAGAAAATGCACAAAAGTTGCAAAAAACAAAAAACTACCTCCTCGGGGGTCAGCGAAAAAAAAAATAGAACAAAAAGCCAATTTCGGTTGGTCGCTTGGAGCCGCAGGGGCTCCCAGGACATATGGCTGTACATATGGGTGTACGAGTGCGCTGAAAATGGCGACGCGAGGACAATAAATGGCCACATGACAAAACATACGTTCCGTGTACAAATTTATGTTATAAATTTCTTTTTGAAGGCCCTCTCGGACATTTGTTTGTCGCACAGAGGTAAGGAATATAACATATACCAGAATATTTGTATCAAACGGTTCCATTTCTTTACTTAAATCTAAATTATTTACTTAAAAAATGCATAGCCCAAGGGTTGGGCACTTTAAACATTCAATCGGTGCTTCGCCACGGGCGCAAATATTCCTTGGCACGGCATTGCTGCTCCAGCAATCAGAGATGGCTGCAGATGCTATTCCCAGTCACAGGCAAATTCGCAAAGATTTTCAAACTGCGGAATGTGCAAATGGTATTCTAAGATGTGTTTCCATACTCATACTCCATTCTTATAATACTCACAAGCAACCCTGCTGGTTTCTTTTCTGCAGAAATCGGCTTACTCAATGTTGTCGGCGTTTATCTCGTTGATTGTTCTTCTCCTACGCTAATGCAAGAGCCGCCAGTCCGTCTAAAACTAATCTCCTGCATGGATTCATTTTGCTTTCAATGTTTTATTAGCCTTTTGTTCACTTTTCAGATATTCTCAAAAAGTAAACAAAACAAATCGTCAAACGAAGTGCGGTGTTCACCTCCGGTCACACTCTATTTCACATATATTTTTGCTGGGCTGAGTACTAGACCTAAATCCGATTCCCAACCCTCTGCTGAGGGTACTGCACCTAGCGATGATTCCTTCCCTGAGAGGCAAATATAAATATTCACCAGGCACTCTATTACTCCTGCTGCTGGACATCAAGCATACCTTCAATCTGGCATGTGCACTTCACGTGTTCAAACTATCGAGTTGCATATATCGAACCTAACAGATATATACCGCGATTCTATCGCACTGATCTACGAAAAAAAAAAGAATTTTAAAGAATCTCCCATTATAATTAATTATTTAAAGACATATTTAATAATAAATACGACTCAAATGGGTTTCAGTGCGTGGTCCAATAGACTAAAAGACTATTCGATATTTTACTTGAACCTATCACAACGAGCAGCTTATGTATCGATATATAGCTTTTTTTTGTAGCTCGTAGCTGTCTCTGGCAAACATTTTCATTTGAGTTGGTGTCACTTGGTCATATATTGTCATAATGCGATGATAAATTGCAGAAAATACTCAAAATGGTGAACTCAGAGCCTCAAGCACCCAACCCGTTCCCAATGTACATGGCGGATAACAAAGCTTACAGCGATCTTTTTAATTATTTGAAACCGTCCCACCTCTCGACCATTAAGCTCGAGCAGGGAGTGTTCGTCAAGCTCTGGCTAAAGACCAAAGGCGAGAAGAAGCTGCTGGCGAGTTTTGAACGAGTCTAATCCAATGACGGCTCTGGACATCCAATTGAAATTTTGCAATCAGCTATACCTGGAATGCGATGGCCCCTCGCTTGTGGCTTTGGTGGGATACTCTCCTAAATTTCCAATGGACCTTAACTTTGAGAGATTCTTCCACTCCTGCCCAAAGGAGTTCTCGTAAACCCCTAACAAAACCCTAAAACCCTAGCAAATAAATAAAAATAAATAAATAAATGAAGTTTTCTTGTCATTTATTAATATTTTACTTTGTGTGTTGCTGCCGTACAATATTCATTTGGTTTCTCAATTAATTACATTTATTGTATTTGCTGTATGCTTGTTTAAACTTTATTTTTAATTTTACCTCCACGTGTGTCTTCGACTTTGACTTTGACTCTGCCTTGAGTTCTGCCCTACAATTGAACTGGAGAGGAGACAAATATGCAGCTCCTGCTACTCCTGATGCCTGCCATTTATGTGTGTGTGTGTTTTGTCGTAGAGCATAGGGAAAGCTTTCTTGTAATAGTATGATTTATTTGTTGTTTGCTTGGTTTTTATTTTCCTTTCTGCTGTTTGCTGTTTTCTTAAGTTCGATTTTTTGATTCTGATTTGCATTTTACGAGGAGTATTTGCTGTTGTTGGTGTTTGCTCTTAAGTTGTTCATGCATGCATACCTAGTGGTACCAATACTGGCTATTGTATTTGCTTGCCCCCTGTTGTTGCTCTTGCGTTTTGCATATAACAATATTAAAATATTTCAAAAGCACAAGAACACCCCGCACCCAACACCGAACACCGAACACTGAGCATACAGATTACACAGCTGGGCGGAGAAAGTCAAGAAATGCCTCAGCATCCCGATGCATTATTCTGAAACTGCCACAGCCACCGCCACAGAACTGCCTCCTCCTGCCCATCTCTGGGGTAGAGTACAGTCTCTCTCGGTGTCTGTGTGTTTGGGGGAAGAGCAACATTTCTGGCATTTTCTTGGGCTTTTGATTTAATTTCACTTAATTTACTAGAAATTCTTGAGCATTTACCTCACCTTCTTCTT